ATGCAACAGTCCTAGATGTTAGACAAAATGATCCCTAGTGAGCAAGCCTGAGGCGACTGAGGCGACTGTGGCAAGGAAAAACTCCCTTAGATGATATGAGGAAGAAACCTTGAGAGGAACCAGACTCAAAAGGGAACCCATCCTCATTTGGGTGACACTGGAGAGTGTGATAGAACAATGTCCTTTCTGCATTTATGTAGCGTTTTATGTGTATATTGATTTGTAGGTTGTTATCTTCCTCAAAGTCCACATAGGGTTGGCAGCGTTGCTTTATATACCCAAATCCTCACGAGGCAGAAACCGGCTGGAGCTGGTCCATCTCTGGATGCCTCAGGATCCTCGTAGGGTTGGCCTCTGTCTACCTGAGCTGGCGCAATCTCTATGTGCCTCGGGATGGGTAGAAGAAGGGAAACAAGTAGAAAAGAATTAGCGTAGCTGCTATTCATAATATTAGCAAGCACTAAATCAATGTATGTATTAAGTGTATGCCTGGCTAAAGATATATGTCTTTAATCTACACTTGAACTGGGAGATTGTGTCTGAGCCCCGAACACTGTCAGGAAGGCTATTCCAAAGTTTAGGAGCTAAATACGAAAACGTTCTACCCCCTTTTGTAGACTTTGATATTCTGGGAACTACCAGAAGTCCGGAGTTTTGAGATCTTAAGGCGCAAGGTGGATTGTGACGTGTTAGAAGACTGGCTAGATACATGGGAGCTAAGCCATTTAGAGCCTTGTACGTAAGTAGTGCTAGTTTATAATCAGGTCTAAACTTAACAGGTAGCCAGTGCAGGGATGATAGTATTGGGGTTATGTGATCATCTTTTCTTGACCTAGTAAGAACTCTGGCTGCTGCATTCTGAACTAACTGTAGCTTGTTTATTGAAGACGCAGGACAACCACCTAGCAATGCATTACAATAGTCCAGTCTGGAGGTCATGAATGCATGAACTAGCTTTTCTGCATCAGATACAGATAAAATGTTCCTAAGCTTGGCAATGTTTGTAAGGTGGAAGAAGGCTGTTTTAGTAATACTGGAAATATGATTTTCAAAAGACAAGCTGCTGTCTAATATTACGCCCAGGTCTTTCACTGTCGAGCTAGTAGTAATAGTACATCCTTCTAAATGCAAGCTGAATTGTGAGAGCTTTTGTGTACTGGTTTTTGGACCAATAAGTAATATTTCTGTCTTATCAGGATTTAGTAAAAGAAAATGATCAGTCATCCAATCTTTAATATCTTTAACACACTCAGTTAATCTAGACAATTTATTTATTTCATCTGGTTTTGATGAGATGTATAACTGGGTATCGTCAGCATAACAATGGAAACTAATCCCATGTCTTCTAATAATGTTACCCAAGGGAAGCATGTAAATTGAGAACAGCAGAGGTCCTAAAACTGATCCTTGTGGAACCCCATATT